GGTAGTCTTTTCCCTATTGTATATTCTTGTCTTCTTTGTCAGACAAAATAATTGACCAAAGCAGCATGGATTTCTGGGCTCTCTCTATTCTGTTCCATTGATCTATGTGTCTATTTTTGTGCCAGTACCACACTGTTTTTGAATACTACAGTTTTGTAGTATAGTTGGAAATTGGGATTGTCATACCTCCATCTTTGTTTTTTCTCAAGACTGCTTTTGCTATTCAGGGTTTTTGTTTCCATATAAATTTTAGGATTATTTGTTCTAGTTCTGTGAAAAATGTTGCTGGTATTCTGATTGAATCTGTTAAGTTATTTTGAGTAGTATGGACATTTTAACAATGCTAATTCTTCCAATTCATGAGCATGTATATCTTTCCATTTGTTTTTGTCTTCAATTTTTTTCAACAATATTTTATAGTTTTCAGAGTACAGGTCTTTAACTTCCTGGTTAAGTTTATTCCTAGGTTTTAATTCTTTGTGATGTAACTGTAAATGAGACTGTTTTCTTAATTTATCTTTCTGCTACTTCATTATTAGTGTATATAAATGTAACAGACTTCTGTGCATTAATTTTATATTCTGCAACTTTACTGAATTCATTAATAGGTTCTAATAGTTTTTTTGGTGGAGTCTTTAGGATTTTCTGGATATAGTATCATGTCTTAAGCAAATGGTGACAATTCTACTTTTTCCTTACAAATTTGGGCACCTTTTACTTCTTTCTCTTCTGATTGCTGTGTAAGACTCCCATTAACTATGCTGAATAAAAGCAGTGAGTGTGGACACCCTTGTCTTTTTCCTGATCTTAGAGAAAATGTTCTCAGTTTTTTACCATTATGATGTTAGCTGTGGGTTTATCATATATGGCCTTTATTATGTTGAGGTATGTTCCCTCTAAATCCACTTTTGAGAGTTTTTAATCAGTAATGAAACTGAATTTTGTCAAATGGTTTTTCTGCATCTACTGAGATGATTTTTATCCTTCATTTTATAAATGTAGTATATCCTGTTGATTAATTTGTGCATATGGAACCATCCTTGAACCCCTAGAATAAATCCCACTTGATCTTGGTGAATGATCCTTTTAATGTTCTGTTGAATGCAGTTTACTAATATTTTGTTGAGGATTTTTTCATCTGCATTCATCAGGGAAAGCAGCCTATAGTTCTCTTTTTTTTTGTAATGTCTTTGTCTGGTTTTGGTATCACAGAAATGCTGGTCTAGTAGAATGTATTCAGAGGCTTTCCTTTCTCTTCTATTTTTTGAAATAGTTTGAGAGCAATAGGTATTAAATCTTTTAAAAATGTTAGAAGTCACCTGTAAATCCACCTGGTCCTGGACTTTTGCTTGTTGTTGTTGTTTTAACATACAGTGTTATATTCATTTCAGGTGTACAACATAATGATTCAACAATTCAACATACATTACTCAGTGTTTATCAAGATAAGTGCACTATTTTTTTTTTTTTTGAGAGAGAGTTTTTGTGTGAGCTAAGGGTAGGAGCAGAGAGAGAGAGGGGGAGAGAATCTTAAGCAGACTCCATGCTGAACATGGAGCCCAATATGGGGCTCAATCTCATGATCCTGAGATCATGACCTGAGCTGAAATCAAGAGTTGGACGCTTAACCCACTGAGCCACCCAGGTGCCCCAATATAAGTGTACTTTTAGTCCCCTCACCTATTTCACCCATCCTCTCCACCCACCTCCCCTCTGGTAGCTATCAGTTTGTTCTCTATAGTTAAGAGTCCTTTTTTTTTTTTTTTTGGTCTCTTGTTTTTCCCCTTTGTTTATTTGTTTTGTTTCTTAAATTCCACATGAGGAAAATCATATGGTATTTGTCTTTCTCTGACTGCCTGATTTTGCTTAGCAGTATACCCTCTAGATCTATCCATGTTGTAAATGTCAAGATTTCATTCTTTTTTATGGTTGAATAATAATCTATTGTATACATATACCACATATTCTTTATTCATCTATTGATGAACACTTAGGTTGCTTCCATAAAGTGTCTATTGTATTTAATGTTGCAATAAACATAGGGGTGCATATATCCCTGTGAATCATTGTTTTTGTATTCTTTGGGCAGATGCCCAGTATTGCAATTACTGGGTCACAGGATAGTTCTATTTTTAAGTTTTTGAGGAACCTCCATATTGTCTTCCACAGTGGCTACACCAGTTTGCATTCCCACCAACAGTGCAAGAGGGTTTCTATTTCTCCACATCCTCACCAATATTTGTTTTTTCTTATGTTTTTGATTTTGGTCATTCTGACAGGTCTGAGGTGATATCTCATTATAGTTTTAATTTGCATTTCCCTAATGATGAGTGATGTTGAGCATCTTTTCATATATCTATTGGCCATCTGTATGCCCTCTTTGGAAGAATGTCTGTTCATGTATCTTCTGCCCATTTTTTAAACTGGATTATTTGTTTTGGGTGTTGAGTTGTATAAGTTCTTTATATATTTTGGACACTAACCCTTTATCAGATATGTCATTTGTAAATTTCGTCTGCCATTCAGTAGGTTGTCTTTTAGTTTTGTTGGTTGTTTCTTCACTGTGCAAAAGCTTTTTATCTTGATGAAGTCCCAATAGTTTATTTTTGCTTTTTTATTTTGTTTCCCTTGTTTCAGGAGACATATCTAGAAAGATATTGTTATGACTGATGTCAGAGAAATTACTGCCTGTGCTCTTTTCTAGGATTTTTACAGTTTCAGGTCTTACATTTAGGTCCTTAATCCATTTTCAGTTTACTTTTGTGTATGGTATAAGAAAGTGGTCCAGTTTCATTCTTTTGTATGTAGCTGTCTAATTTTCCAGCACCATTTGTTGAAGACACTGTCTTTTTCACTGCATATTCCTGCTTCCTTTGTCAAAGATTAACTGACCATATAATTGTGCATTACCCTGATTCCAAAACCAGATAAAGACACAACAAAAAAAGAGACTACAGGCCACTCTCTCTGATGAACATAGATGCAAAATTCCTCACCAAAATATTAGCAAACATAATCCAGCAATACATTTTTAAAAAGCATTCATCATGATCAAGTGTGATTTATTCCTGGGATACAACAGTGGTTCAATATTTGTGATACATCACATCAATAAGGGAAAGGATACAAACCATATGATCATTTCAGTACATGCAAAAAAAGTATCTGACAAAGTACAACATCCATTCATGATAAAAACAAAGTAGGTTTAGAGGGACCATACCTCAACATAATAAAGGACTTATATGAAAAACCCACAGCTAACATCATACTCAATGGGGAAGAACTGAAAATTTTTCTCGCTAAGATCAGTAGCAAGACAAGGATGTCCACTCTCACCACTGTTATTTAACATAGTACTGGAAGTCCTAGCCACAGTAATCCGACAAGAGAAAGGAATAAAAGGCATTCAAATTGGTAAGGAAGAAGGGAAACTTTTACTATTTGCAGATGACATGATACTATACATAGAAAACCCTAACGACTCCACCAAAAAAACTACTAAACTGATAAATTCAGTAAAGTTGTGAGATACAAAATTAATGTACAGAAATATGTTGCATTTCTATACACTAATAATGAAGAAGCAGAAAGAGGAATTAAGAAAACAGTCCATTCACAACTGCATCCAAAATAATAAAGTATCTACAAATAAACTAACCAAAGAATTGAAAGATCTGTACCCTGAAAACTATAAAACCCTGATGAAAGAAATTGAAGATGATACAAAGAAATAGACATTCTATGTTCATGGGTTAGAAGAGCAAAAATTGTTCAAATATCTATACTACCCAAAGCAATCTACAGATTTAATGCAATTCCTATCAAAACACCAGCAGCATTTTTCACAGAACTAGAACAAACAATCCTAAAATTCGTATGAAATTGCAAAAGACCCTAAGTAGCCTAAGCAATCTTGAAAAACAAAACTGGAGGCATCACAATTTTAGACTTCAAGTTATATTACAAAGCTGTAGTAATCAACAGAGTATGGGTTTTTAAATTACCAATTCAAGATTGTTACTACGATTCAATTTCATTGCTAGTAATTGGTCTTTTCAGTATTTCTATTTCTTTCTGATTCACTCTTGGAAGATTTTAATTTTTTAGGAATTAATCCATTTCTTCTAGATTGTCCAATTTGTTGGCATATTTCTTTTATTTTACAATAAATATATATTTAAATCTCAGTCTGAATTTTTAATATGGAAAATATTCACAGATATAACCCATGAAACAAAAGCTCTTTGGGGAACCTTAATAAATTTTCAAAGTGTTAAGAGGTCCTGATTCCAAGAAGTTTGAGAGCCTTTCACAACCAACCAGGAGCACTCAGTGAAGAGGTTATGAAAGGATATCTCCTTTAATCATCCATTGAAGAGTTTTGAAAATCTATTTACCTACTCTTATTATTATTAATTGTGTTAACTGGAGTAACAGAAGGATGGATATTTCAAATTTTAAACTTTTTGTTATTTGAAAAGTATGGTGTGATCAGAACAATGGCCTTCCTAAAACTACTGGACTTAGATATCTGTGACAGAAGCTGGTTCTGAACTGGCAGATAAAACTTTAGGCCATTACAGATTTATATCAGGATTCTTTTTAATTGTTCAAGCAGAAACAAACAAAACAAAACAAAAAACACTAGAATTTCTCCCAGGGCAGAAGCATTTTCCCACTCCCTACACTCCATTTTCCCACTCCCTACACTCCAGAGAATCAGACGGTATTCTACACCAATAGAAGCAACAGCCTCAGAATGCACACTGAGTAATCACACTGAAAGGAATGTGTAGCAGGATAAACTCATTGGCTGTTTTATATACACTATATATTTTTTAATATAGAATATATTCTACAAGACCACAATTCAGTATATATCTAAATATTTTTCTCAGAATATACTCATTTTAATTTTTTTGTAATATTGCTTAAAAATAAAACAGTTTGGATCAAAAACACTGACATTTGTATAATTCTGTTTACGCTTTTCAAAATTTACACTTCTAGATTGATACCCTAAGATACACTCTTTGCTCAGGGAGTGCCACAAAAGTAATTGGTTTGAAAAGATGCAGTTTCATAGCTACTTACATGCAGTTTTACCATCATCAATGACTCATACTATAGCTAAAGCAACTACCCTTATCCTTCAACTAAGATACTTCTAGAAAGAATACTTTGAAAAAATACCTCAGCACTTGCAGATCACAGAATGATTTCAAATCATCAGACTGTTTTTCCCAAAATTCCTAAAATTGAACAAAAGTTTTAAGTAGTTAGCAGTTACTCTACTCTGGAACAGATCCTCTTAAGTCACAAAGAATATTCCAAAAGTGGGGGTCACTTACCAGAACATCCTTCTCAAGGTGTTTCAGAGCCTGAATATCCTTCTCAAGATTGTTCAGCTCTTGAAGAACAAAACTGTGAAACTGTTGTAGTTTATTCAGTCTGATAAATGTAAAAAGCAAAAGATTTAATTGGAACTGCTTGACTGTAACAAGAGACAATCCTCTTTATAAGGATACTTCTTATTCTTCTCTAGACTTTTTTTTTTTTTTAACTTAAATGCAAGTTGGTTAACATATACTGTATTATAAGTTTCAGGGGTAGAATTTAGTGATTCATCAGCTGCACATAACACCCAGTGCTCATTATATCAAGTGCCCTCCTAAATGCCCATCACCCAGTTACCCCATCCCCCCAAACCCAACTCCCCTCCAGCAACCCTCCGTTTGTTTCCTAGAGTTAAGAGTCTCTTATGCTTTTCCTCCTTCTCTGTTCCTATCTTATTTTTCCTTCCCTTCCCCTATGTTCATCTGTTTTGTTCTTAAGTTCCACACGAGTGAAATCCTATGGTATTTGTCTTCTTCCAACTGACTTATTTCACTTAGCATAATACCATCTAGTTCCATCCACGTGACTGCAAATGGCAAGATTTCATTCTTTTTGATGACTGAATAATATTCGTGTGTGTGTGTGTGTATGTGTGTGTGTGTGTGTGACATCTTCTTTATCCATTCATCAGTCAATGGACACCTGGACTCTTTCCATAGTTTGGCTATTGTGGACATTGCTGCAATAAACACTGGGGTGCATGTGTCCCTTTGAATCACTATGTTTATATCCTTTGGATAAATACCCAGTAGTGCAATTGCTGGGTCATAGGTAGTTCTATTTTTAACTTTCTGAAGAACCTCCATGCTGTTTTCCAGAGTGGCTGCACCAGTTTGCATTCCCACCAACAGTGTAAGAGGGTTCCCCTTTCTCCACATCCTTGCCAACTTTTGTTTTAAGAACACATATCTCTTCTTCCCTTCCCTCACTGCATGACCATCCTCTTCCCCAGAAACTATGAAAACTTTGATTTATCCTTTCAACAGAAGTCCAGAGGAAGCTGGGATTTTAACATCATACTTAGAGCAAAGGAGAGATGACTCCAGGGAAAAGGACACAGAGGCCAGACCTGGCCTAGAAGCCATTGTACCACCAATCATGGCTCCCCATCACTTCCAAACTTCCACTTGCTCCCCTCTCTCTTGCCTTAAGGGGGTTCTGAAAGCTGAAATTGGCTAATAAACTCTGTCCTCTACATGTTAGTTCTAAAGTTTCCAACATCTGCTATTCTGTGTCAACTACCATATAAACTGCTTGCTTGCTTATTGTCTGTCTTCTCCATTAGGCTGAAAGTTCTATGAAGGCAAGAAGCTCCCAAAGCTTGTTGTCACTGCTCTCCTGCACTTAGCACAGGGTCTGGCACCTCGTGCTGCTCGGTGTGCATTTGCTGAATGAAAAATGGCTGAATACGTAACCCCTACAAGACAATGGAAGTTCTACAAGTCCAAAGTCCTTCTTGGGCTTGTTTTGAGAATCAAATGACATTGCATGTATCAAAGTTTGAAAAAAAAAATCGTAATTCCTATTCACATTATATTTTCTGCCCTAAGAAACTTCCTCCTTCAGTCAAGCTAACCAACCTGCCATTGTTTTCTTTCCCTCCTTCATCTACAGGCCATTTTCTCCAACAAGGAACAATCTCTATACATACCTTCCCTATACCATTCAAACCTTTGTTTCCAAAACCACTACAGAAGCACTTCCATTGTAATGGTTCTGGATTAACTCTAATCACCACAGAACCCCATCTCCACTCACCTTTCCTATCCTTCCCATCTCATGGTCATCTGAGTGTGTTTGCATACGTGTGCATGTGTGCACGCGAGTGCATAGCACTCTTTATTGTGGCAATATATGTAACATAACATTCACCCTTTTAGCCATTTTTAAATGGACAATTCAGTGGCATTAAGTACATTCACAATGTCGTGCAACCATCACCACCATCCGTCTCTAGAACTTTTCCATCATCCAAACAGAAACTCCACACTGATTAAACACTGACTTATTTCCCACTCCCTCAGCCTCTGGTAATCTCTATTCTGCTTTCCTTCTCTAGGAATTTGCCTCTTCTAAGTACCTCATATAAGTGAAATCATGCACAACTTGTCCTTTTGTATCTGGCTTATTTCATTTTGCATAACGTCCTCGAGGTTCATCCATGATGTAGCATGTGTTAGAATTTCATTCCTTCTTAAGGCTGAATAATATTCCACTGCACATGCATGACACATAGCACTCACTCAGCATTTTTCCATATATGCCCATGCTTGCTCTGTCTTCATAATAGTGTTTTAGGATCATACCATGGCAGACCATGAAGAGGCTTAAGGAAGACCTTACCCCATCATCTTATGAATGAGGAACTAGAAACCAGACAGGTTAGGTGATGTATCAAACCTCAACTTCAGGTCCTCATGACCCTACCACAGTGGACATGACACAAATGTTTACGAGTGATCACACTTTTATGACTTTGTTTTGAAACCCAACACTTACCTGCATTGATGTATCTGGTTTAAAAGTTGGATTAAGCAATCTGGTGCTTGCTTTGCATCTTCTGAATAAAGTGGACTCCCTTTGTACCTAAGCTAAACCATAACAACAATAACAAAATGATCACACTTGAATTAGCCATAACTACATAAATGGAGTTCAGGCTTTGTGTGAAAATGATACTACCAGCACATTATATTCATAGCAAACATTACTGCTTAACAACTGTGATAAGACAACATGCTACACGCTTTCTATGTATTACCTCAGGTTCAGTACCAATAAAGAACAATACGCCAAAATAGGAAAACATATTCATGCTATCAAAACACATATTGAATATTACGAACAAATTTCCATTATAAACTAGCTTACATTGGTATTGCAAAAAATATAAGACTTTGGAGATTTTCCAAATTAGTTAAATGAATATATGTCAGGGTAAGATAATTTTCTCAAATGTGCTAATAAATAACTCTTTTGGGATTTATAAACAATAGGACATAAAAGGAGGGAACTGAAATGCTTCCAAAGTTCATCTTGCAGACAAGATTTTGGGACAGCCTACGTATGCACTGCCCAGCTGTACTCAGATTTGCCACCACTCAGCTGACCATCTACCCAAAGCCCACCTCCATCTTTGTCCTGGACACCTCTCTCATCCACATGGTACCCCCCTCTCCTCCTTGCCTATTGTTATGACTGAATCATTGCTTTCTGGTACTTCCAATGTCTGAGAATGCTCTCAATGAAACCAAACCATGAGTCTGATTTCCATATAGGTCCATCCGGTCCCACTGTAGCAAATGGACATGGAACAGCTTCTTACAATACAAACCACAATTCACAAAGGCACTACAATCAGTACCCATAGCTAAGGCAAATACGCCTCCCCCAAAGCCTCAGGAGCATCTTCACACATGAAGGATAACAACAGTACTGATGAATAATACGAACTTGTTACTTTAAGCTCATAACAACCCAGCTCTTCATTTTTAGTGGACCATTACCTCAGATTTTCTTTTCAGTTCTCTAGCGAAGTTTTCAAGGGCTGTGATAACAGCAGAACTCTTCGAATTCTCTGGTACAACTGCTAGAGATGGAGTAGAAATGCCTTCTGAACAATAAAAATAGAACATTAAGTAAAACTAACACAGGGCTCAAAATAGATGTGCTCAGTCCATAAGCTGCCTGGAGGATGGAAAGTCAGTCGGGAGGCAAAGATATACTCCAAAGAAGTCCCAAGGGGGCCTGACTCTGGCTGACAAGGCCAGCTTGGAACCGAGAGTCCTCATGGTGGGCACTTCCGGCTGCTTCCAGTCAAACCTCAGTCTCTGGCAAGGGCTCATTTCATCCAAAGTTTCCCAGCACTTTAAATTGGGGCAGCTGATATTATGTCTAAGAAGCAGGCTGAAGGAGGTGTCAAAAGAGGTTTTAAGGAGGACATGACAGGTAGCACTTTTCTATGGGGGCAACAGAGTTTTATGAGGGCTCTGGCACTATTCTAAGGGATTTGCAGGTATTGACTCATGTAATCCACACAAAAACCATGTCAAGTAGGTGCTGTTGTTGTGCATATTGAACAGAAGGATCAAATAACCTGTTCAAGCTCACACCAACAGCGTCAGGATTGGAACCCAGGCCAACTGGTTCTTAATCACCAACCTCTAGTATCTCTGAGCTTCCAAATTTGCCCTCTTGGCGCCTTTTGTTTTGAAACAGTGTGGCATCACTTATGCAGATGGCCAACCCCACATATGCAGATATTTTGGATCATTCTCCTTCGTATAGAGTGGATATTTCTAATAAAAACTTAGTTAATAACTATCAACTAAAGCAGAGGCCTAGACATTTAAGAACCTTAGGCCCTGGGGCACCTGGGTGGCTCAGTCGTTAAGCGTCTGCCTTCGGCTCAGGTCATGATCTCAGGTTCCTGGGATCGAGTCCCACATCAGGCTCCCTGCTCAGCGGGAAGCCTGCCTCTCCCTCTCCCACTCCCCCTGCTTGTGTTCCCTCTCTCGCTGTGTCTCTCTCTGTCAAATAAATAAATAAAATCTTTAAAAAAAAAAAAAAAAAAAGAACCTTAGGCCCTGAAAATTGCCATAAGGAAGAGTGAAGAGGCAGAAATCAAAAGGATATGGTGCTTACTTGCTTTTATCTATAATTTGTGCAACAATTTACTTGGCTTTGAAAGGACAAAATGCTTAGTTTGTAGGGTTCTGCAGCAACTTTGATCTTTGAAATGTAACCCCCTTGTAGTGCATGCTAGTACATTCAGTGCTTACAAGTTTGTCACACTCGTGCTTGAATGGCTGGCTGGGCACATAATGTTACCTGAGTCTGTCTCTTCTGTCACTGAGGCGAGGGATTCTGGAGCAGCATCTTCTTCCAATTTTGACTGTTTTGACTTAGCAAAACTGCCATCTGATATGTCTGAAAGTAAACACAGCACATTAATAACCACACACACGTTCCTTTTGTCCCAATTTTATCTTGTCTTCTTTTCACCAGTAAATACCTAACTTTGATAAGCAGCAAGGAAAACTTGTTTGCCGTTACTAATTACTTATCAGTTGACACGCTAAGAACAACACAAGCATCAAAGCACTAAGTCTACTGATGCCTGAAAGAGGACACACGGGAACAGGCATCCCTTTGATGAGCTCTGTAACGTCTAGGAACGATCTGCTTAGCAAAGTACAGACTGACTCAAACAAAACAGTAGTGGATATAGTATCAAAAACACTGCCAGGGCTCAGGCTAAATGGCAAGGTAAAATGGTATCCGAGCAGATGGGCCTTCGGAAGCTCATCAGATCACCCTGCAAAGTGCGTCACCTGTTGGCGACACTGGAGATTAATGAGATCATCTTGGCTCCTCACTAGCTAAAGTGACTTGGAGACCTTCAGCTTATGAGATTTAAATATAATCCCTTTTTCACCTTGGCATTTACTAAACATTTTCTAATGATGTTTACTTTTATCCCAAACATGTCCTTGTTCCTTCTGAGCCCTCCCAATCTTATCAATGTCACCTCTATTGTCAAAAGCACCATAGAATTAGGCCCAACTCCTGCTTTTCCTTACCATCCACCTCTCTTCCATCATCAAGGCTAAGGTCCTGCATACAGAATGAATCCATCCCTCTTTCTGCATTCCCACACCATGACCCTGTCCAAGGCCATCCTCCCTGGAGGACCTCGTCAGTCCCATGCCTTCAACGGTGCTACCTCCCAAATCTCTCTCCTGAGCTCCATTAAGCAGCAAATTTTTGTTTCCGACTGCTTAGAGTCCATCTCTAAACCCACTCTATTCTATCTAAACCACTCTTTCTTCCCCACCATACACTTAGCCCCTATGTACACACTTAGCTTGAAGTCATCTGGCTTTGCCCCTTCTCATCACATATCCTGCCAGTCTTTACTGATTTTTCCCCTTCAGAGGGGAGAATTCATTACTCAGCAGATATTTGATTATTATTATGTACAAATATTTGAATAAACTGTACAATATGGTGGCATGGTGGAGAAGCAAAGAGACAACTTTCTCTTTCTGTGCTCTGCTTCTCTATATAGTCTCCCTGGGGTGCCTCGGACACCTCAGGCATGTTCTCATCTCAAGGTCTTTGCTCTTGCGGCTCCTCTGGACTTGAATCCTTTACCCCATAGATCTGCATTAAGGTTCCCTCTGGCCAACCAACATAAGATTTCAGTACCACCCCCCAACTTTTAAATGTCATTCCATGCTTGATTTTTTTTCCCTAGCCTTTATCACAATATAACATACTACATGTTTTACTTTTCTTATATATTATTTGCCCCCCACACACTGGAAGATAAACTCCAGCAAAGGTCGGCATTTTGTCTGTTTTGTTCATCAGAATATCTAACCCTTAGAAAAGTGCCGGGGCGCCTGGGTGGCTCAGTCGGTTAAGCGGCTGCCTTCGGCTCAGGTCATGATCCCAGGGTCCTGGGATCGAGCCCCACATCGGGCTCCTTGCTCGGTGGAGAGCCTGCTTCTCCCTCTCCCTCTGTCTGCTGCTCTGCCTACTTGTGCTCTCTGTGTTAAATAAATAAAAATCTTTAAAAAAAAAAAAGTGCCTCATCCACAGTAGACGCTCAGTAGATGTTCATTGAATGAATAAATGAATGCTACAAAATATCCAAGTTCCTATGAAAAAAGAAAACATAAGATACCTTAGGGGTTCCTAAAATGGCAACATAGGAAGACTCACCTCCTTCACAGACACACACATCTATAGAGCAATTGAAGAATGGAGGGCTGACTAAACAGCTTCTGCACAACAAAAGATAAGAGAGACCACATAAAGAACAGCAAGAGAGAGGGAGACAGAGTAATGAAGGAGCCCCCATCCCCCACAGGGTGTACTGCAGTGGGGAGGGATAGTACTAAGGGACGGGGAGGAGATTCGTCTGCCCTGGGACATAAAATAAAAGCTGTGGTTTAAAAGGACAACTAGAATAAAAAAAGATCTAGCCCTAGGACCCTGCCAAACAGTGGGGGAGCTACTGGAACTCACTCTGGGTCAGAGGGGCTGGTGGGTGCCATGGTTTATGTTCACCCTCTACCTTGATAGCACAGAGGGAAGTAGGGTTGGGCTGCCATAGCTGACCTACCTCCACACCAGCCCCAGCCATCCCATCAAGGTGGCGCCCATGCAGCACATACCAGGACACCCCTGGCCAGCAGTCACTACGGCTCCAACTAACTCATCAAGACACAAAACATCCCAGAACATGTCAGGCCTGCACCACTTCACCTCCAGACAACTTGCCAGGGCACCCTGCACAGAGTGCCCGGAAACCTCTGTGCCCATGCCTGCTTTGGCTCCAGAGTACCCCCCTGCATGGAGCTTCCCAGGACACTCCAGCCTGCACCAACTTCAGTTTCAACCATCCTACCAGGGTGCCCTCTACTTAGGGAGCCCAAGGATGTAGAAAAAGGAACCCTCTTGCACTGTTGGTGGGAACGCAAACTGGTGTAGCCTGTGGACAACAGTATGGGGATTCCTCAAAAAGGTAAAAATAGAACTACCCAATGATCCAGTGTGGGTATTTACACACAAAATTACAAAAACACTAATTCAAAGGGATACATGTACCCCTATCTGTATAGTGGCATTATTTATATACTAAATTATGGAAGCAACCCAAGTGTCCATTGACAAGTGGATGGGTAAAGATGTGGTGTATATACACACAATGGAATGTTACTGAGCCATAAACAGGAACGAAATCTTATTTGCAACAACATGGGTAGAGCTAGAGAATATAATGCTGAGCAAAATAAGTCAGAGAAAGACATAAATACCATATGATTTCACTCATATGTAGAATTTAAGAAACAAATGAACAAAGGGGAAAAAAGAGAGACACACAAACCAAAAAACAGACCCTTAACTATAGAGAACAAACTCAGGGTACCAGAGGGGAGGTAGGCGAAATAGATCAAGGGGATTAAGCATACACTTACCTTGTTGAGCACTAAGAAATGTAGAGAAGTGTTGAATCACTATATTGTACGCCCAAACCTAATACAGCACTCTATGTTAACTCTACTGGAATTAAAAATAAAAGTAGCAACAGAAAAAAAAAATTCCCACATAAAAGGGAACCTCCGTAAGGTTTACCTCTGTTTATATTGGGCATATATCACCAAATTATTATAGGTATAGTTATATTATCTGTCAGATTTCTTACCAGAAATTTTACAGACTAAGAAAAATGGAATGATATAAAGTGCTGAAAGAAAAACATTGCCAACCATGAATACTTGATCTGGAAAAGTTGCCCTACAGAAACGAAGGAGCAATAAAGACTTTCCCAGACAAATACAAGCTAAGGGAGTTTATCGTCACAAGATCTGCCTTATAAGAAATGCCGAAAGTAGTTCATCAAGTCAAAATGAAAGGGTGATAATTAGTAACATGAGAACATAGGAAAATATGCCACAATTATGAACACATAGTTAATATCAGAATACTATAATATGATGGTGTGTTAACCATTAACATCTAGTATAAAGGATGAAAATATTGAAAATAATTATACGTGAAATAATTTGGTGATGTATGCCCAATATAAACAGAGGCAAATTGTGACAACAAAAACATAAAATTTAGGGGAAGCAAAGGGTGGAGTTTTGTATGCAATAAAACTTGTTATCAGCTTGAAATAGACTATTTGGTATCTAAGACATTATATGTAAGCCTCATGGTAATCACAGAGCAAAACCTACCCAAAAGTAGATACACAAAAGATAAAGGAAATAAAAAAATACCACTATGAAAAATCACCAATTCACAAAAGAGAGGAAGAGATTAACAAGGGAACTACAAAACAGCCAGAAAACAATAAGATGACATTAGTAATTCCTTACCTATCGATGACTACTTTAAATATTAGTGGACTGACCAATTAAAAAAGGGCAGAGGATCCAAATAGACATTTTTCCTAAGAAGATATACAGATGGCCAACAATCTCATGAAAAGATGCTCAATGTCCCTTACCAGGGAAATGAAAATCAAAACCACAATGAGATATCACCTCACACCTTTTAGATTGCCTAAAATTAAGAAGATAAGAAACAAGTGTTGGTGAGGATGTGGAAAAAAAAAAGGAACCCTCATGTACTGTTGGTAAGAATGTAAATTGTTACAGCCACTGTGGAGAACAGTATGGAGGTTCCTCAAAAAATTAAAAATAGAAATACCATATAGGGGCGCCTGGGTGGCTCAGTTGGTTAAGCATCTGACTTCGGCTCAGGTCATGATCTCAGCCTCCTGAGATAGAGCCCCATACTGGACTCCCCACTCAGCAGGGAGTCTGCTTTTCCCTCTCCCCCTGCCCCTCCCCCTGCTCATGTTCTCTCTCTCTCTCTCAAATAAAATCTTTTTTCTTAAAAAAAGAAATACCATATGATCCAATAATTCCACTATTGGAGGATATTTACCAAAGGAAAATGAACACACTAACTTAAAAAGATCTATGCACCCCTATGTTTATTGCAGCATTATTTACAATAGCCAAGACGTGGAAGCAACCTAAGTGTCCATCAATAGAAGAATGGATAAGGAAGATTATGTTCCACACACAGAGGAATATTATGCAGTCATAAAAAATGATGAAATCACGCCATTTGAGACAACATGGACGGACCCACAAAGTATTATGCTAAGTGAAATAAGTCAGAGAAAGACAAATACCATATGATTCCACTTACAAATGGAATCTTAAAAAAAAAATGAACAAAAAGTAGAATCACAATTATAAATACAGAGAACAAACTGATTTTTTTTTTTAATTTGTATTTATTCTATGCAGAATTTACTCTCGGGCCATAAGGTTTTGTTTCTTCAGTTTCTTCTGGGGTATCTTTTTCTTCTGTGCAACCTCCTCTTCTGGTTTAGGAAC